AAAGATATTGAGGCTAAGGTACACGCATGCCACCTGTGCCAACGATCTCGCCCAGAGATGCCCCAAGCTCCTGTGCATAGATGGGAGGAAACACAGTCCCCATGGTCTAGGGTGCACATTGACTACGCTGGGCCCTTTCAGGGCCAGTTCTTCTTGGTCCTTGTTGACAGCCATTCAAAATGGCTTGAGGTTGTGCCTGTCTCATCCACCACCACTGCAAAGACTATTCAGGTACTGAGGGGGATTTTTGCTGCACACGGGCTGCCAGATGTCATTGTGTCCGACAACGGCCCTCAATTCACCTCCTCCGAATTCCAAGCTTTCTTACAGGCAAACCTGATTCGTCATGCCACGTCTGCGCCTTTTCACCCGTCCACCAACGGTATGGCTGAACGCATGGTGCGCATCGCAAAGGACGCCTTGAAGAGACTCACCTACGGGGACTGGCATCACAGGTTGGCTGACTTTCTCCTTTCTTATCGCACCACACCGTCCACTTCTACAGGGAGAAGTCCAGCTGAACTTCGTTGGGGGCGCCAACTTACTACTAGACTTGACCGGTTGCATCCGGACAGACTGCCTTCATCTACCTCACATCCTAGGGCACCTAGACAACTACTTGTGGGTGCCCCGGTTTGGGCTCGCAATTACGGGCCTGGTCATACATGGGTCCCCGCTTCTGTGTCCAGGATCACAGGTCCTCTCTCCTACGAGGTTGCCCTGGACAACGGTCGTGTCCTGCGTCGGCACATCGACCAACTTCGCTCTAGGCGAGACTTTTCTGCTGAGACTCCTGGGTCTTTTCCAGGGGGGGAGGGGGACCCTTTGGAGCAAAGGGAAGGGCACGAGCTGCTGCCCATCTCCACTGAGGGAGCCACAAACGGCCCATCCCAGGGTTCCGCGAGAGCTCCGAACAGGAATTCCATGAGCTTACCTAACTACCAGGCATCCACGCCTACTCCAGCCAGGGAGTCACCCCGGGGGCATACTCACGTTCCACACACGTCACACAGCACTCCAGTCACGGAGGATACCCGGGGGCATCCCAACAAATCATTCCCCGCAAGAGAGCTGGCACACAATTCCCAAGGTTGGCCTGACCTTACCCCAAATCCTACAGGGGGTCAAACATACACAGAGTTAGTCGAGGAACCAAGTCCCGACTACAACAACCCTAGCACAAATCAGGGAACACCTGAGTTTTGGGAAAGTACAGAAACCCACACGAGCCCGAACACAGAATGGGGTTCAGGGAATGGACAGCCTCCTGACAGGTCTTGGACTGACCTAGGAGGTTCTACAGAGACGCCCAGCAGCGGCTATCACTTCAAGGGGCCTGAGGGTCTACAGCTAGGTAGGTCAACCAGGTCACAAAGTAACAGAAGCCCTGGCCTGACGAGCCCGGTGGGCAAGCAAGCAGGCCAGGCATCGGGGCACAGTCCTTGGAAGACACCAGGACACAATAGAGAGAACAGGCTCACGCCTCCCTCCAGTCAGGGGACTTATGCCAGTAATCCACAGCTAAGAAGGTCACAGAGAGCAAAGAAATCTCCCAAGTACCTAGAAGACTACATAACATTGCTGGCAAGGCAAAGGCCAGTAAACAGTGGGAGCACTGGGGAGCAAAATGTCATATAAAATAAATGTTGTATGTTGGTAGTAGTTTTAGCCCGGGGGAAAGGGGTGTTATGTCCCGAGCCTTTGCAAACGGCTCGGGCGTTTGCAGGCAGTCCCGGGCAGGTGCAAAGCTGCCCGGGACCAGACAGGCTGTCGCCAGCGCCGTGCGCATGCGCGGGTGCTGGCGCGGGAAAAGTAACCCATTTACCCGGGAGTTGCCTATATAAGAGGCTGCGAGGCGTTTGGGCGAGGCTGAAGCCATCTTCCTGTAAGCTGAACGCTGAATAAAAGAAACTGAGAACTCCAGCTGCTTCTCGTGTCTGTTTTCCCGCCAAGGACGCAACAGTTATGACCATTTTTTCTGGAATAGTGATCTGGTGAAAATACATTTAGAGTGAAAACTTGTAAGCATCCTTAAACAATCCATGTGATTTTTCTTCTAAGACTGTTTCCCAGATATAACTGGAATGCTAAACTGCATAGTAAGAAAAAATAATTTTGCAAAGCACATCTGCATTGTTTGAAAAAAAATGGCATGATCTAACATCTGTTTCTGGGTTTCATTCTGTTTTGCTTCCTTTTTGTTTACATGTTTGTCCAGTAGATTTATAAATGAAACACAGTTTTCAGGAAGCTTTCAATAGATACAGCTCTATATTAATCCTGGGTCTACAGATAGGCCTTTGATGTGTGCCCAGCATGATGCTTAGAAAGCTGTTCTACACATGCTCAAATATAACAGTGTGGGACACTAATTGTACTCAAATATTTTCTTAAATGAATGTTTGTGTGCCCATTTAAAATAGTACATTTAGAATCTTCTGCAATAATGAAAGACAATTGATCAACCTCAGATGAATAGTACATTGAGTTTCTCAGCAAATATGAAGGCATATTTGTTTGCTTTGGATTTGGCATAGTGTTTGTGTTGAGTACAAATGAATAGATGAAGAATAGGGGAGAAAATGTGATGCTCAGAATATTAAACTGCAAAGCATTCTCTGATTGGTTCATGGAAACTACTTACTCTCAATATAAATGGACAAGAACATCCTCTTTTTATAACTGTCACAAAGAAAGCAGCTGGGGAAACAGGGAAAACAAAATCTCTCAAACGGTAAGTAAAAGTCTTTACCATTTAAACTTAGTTATTGAAATCATCTTAATGTAATCATCACCAGCCTGGATCCTGATGAAAAATACCTCCCTGATAGCAGTATTTCAGTGAGGATTCAGTTAGTCAATATACCAGTGTTAGTATTCTATTGTTCTGCTTGAGTTTTTTGATATATTGTAAGATGTTTATATCTGAGGAAGAAATAGGTTAGTATTTCAAAATATACTAATTTTCTGTACATTGCAAAAATTGTTTAGTAACTGTATAGTACAGAAAAATTAAGCTTTAATATAGTACTTCAGAGTTAAAAATACATATAATGAACCAACTTTATACATAATAATAACAAATATACTCTTAATCACGCTTTAGCCATACTGGAGATTCATAGAATGGTAAAAATAACTGCTTAATTATTTGCTTTATGCTCTCAGTAATTAAACCTGATCTTAAGCTTAACCTAAATATCTCAACCTAAAGGAACTTAAGCAGAACACATTCTCAGATAAATTAAAAACTTTAAAATGAAAGAAGAAAATTTAAAATTTACTAGTATTAGTAGCACCACTGGCATTTTATTACTTTAAAGCACAAACAAGTGTGCAAATAGTTTTCTAAAATTAATGTAAACATTTTAATTACAAAAATGAGAATAATATTCATTATTCTGAAATTTCTATTAAAATCAATTTTAATAGATATGTTCTTTCTCTTGTTCTATCCTAATATATCAGCTAAGTCTGTTTTGTTCCTGTTGAGGCTGGTTAATTACAGAACTATTAAATGTGGTTATGCGGTAGATTTCCAATTAAAAAAACCTTTCTTCCTCTTCCTTCTTCTGCAAGTAAGGAGGTGATTAATATTTTTAAGTATTCCTGAAATAGTAGTTATAGTAATATCAGAAAGCTATATTATCTCATCCTTTTAATTATTTTTATAAGAGTTTGGAAAATGTAATGAAAAATTCATTAGATATTTATAAGGTTGGAAACAGATCAGAAAGTGGTTGATGAGATCCTCCAGCAGAGGCTGTACTGTTGTATTCTTTGTATAATAATAAAATAATGGAACTGAAATTTCTTTAATACGAACATCAATCAGATTTGTAGTCATAATTATATTAGCAGCTGCTTTTCCAAAATATTTAATGTATAGCAATTGATTGCCTTAATCATTTAGGATGCTAGTGTATTTACTTCTGTTATGCCTATGGATAATCCTCTGTCTATCTAACTTCAGTAGAAATGCTCTTTTCCTAAATAGAACTTTCAGTCTGCAAGTCAAGTTAGTTCCTTTAAATTGTTTTGATGAGAATATTTAGATACCTCTCCTATTAACTTATTAATTCAGTGTTTTGTATAGTTCTTAAAATAATGAAAATAAATTAACAAATAATGCTACACAGAAAAACTATTTTAGACATCTTCACAAAAAGTGAGAAAGATATGAATAATTATAATAATTTTGGATAGTTAGCCTATAAATGTCTTTGAAACTTGCATATCTTGGAATGTGTGCATGTCCATGGTGATGGTGGTGAGATGGAACAAAATTTCTGGCCATTTCAGTGCACTTCATTACTTGCTGGGTGAGTCTTATGTCTGTGACCAAAATCAATTTTCTTACACAATATATAATAAGAAAAATTCTTGAATTGAGTTTTAACCTAAATAACAATTGTCCATGTACAGTAATTTTCTTGATAACAGTATAAAAGTAGTTTGTCTGCTTCTAAGTTGTTTTTTTCCCCCTTTGGTAGCCCTTTTTAATCTACAGTCCACGGATTTTTTTGTGTTATGGTCATTTCACCCACAACAATTCATTAGAGCAGATTTCAATTTCAGAGTTCTATATTGTTATCACATGTATCTTATGAGTGGATTTTTATATATATAGACACTATAATACAGATCATTTGTTTGTTAAATGCAGTGATTTTGCTTTTTAAAAAGCTTGGTTCTCTATTTCTATGAGGAATTAATTTACTGGAGATGAACTGAGGTTCATAAGCCTTTGCACAACTTAAGGAATCCAACTGCACCCAAGGCCTATATTGTGCCTTCGTTTATATTAATGTATTCCAGGGCTTTTTTTCTCATAGAATGCCCAGAACGGAGTTCTGGCACCTTTTTTGGATGGAACCTTATAGGGTAGGCAAGGTGGGTTGTATGACATGTGTGAGTTCCGGCACCTTTTTTTTTTTTTTTTTTTTTTTTTTTAGAAAAAAAGCACTGATATATTCTGTCCAATTATGTTTATGTTGTAGGTCACACTTTACAGTAAATGCATCATTTTTAGAGGTGCTTTTGTAGGAAAATAAGACTGGCAAAAAGTAGATATATAGCAACATCAGAAGACTTTAAAGGTAAATATCTATCTTTTTCACTACACAAAACATATCTATATTGCACTACTTGAACTGCCCAGAATTTGTAGATTGTTGTGGTGCTGATGATTTTACCCTCATTCCTTCTCAGAAACCTCTAGTGGGAGACAGTATCTCAAATTTGAGAACAGATTTATCAATTACTTTGAATTTAATTACTATTTAATTACTTTCACTCTTCCTTTTTTCACTAAAGCAATAATCACAGATTTTTAAAATATTTTTTTCTTTTGGATATGGTTAACACTGCATTATTTTTTGCAACATAGAAAAATTCTGAAATATTAAATGGTTACTAGAGTTTCAGTAGGGGGTTACTGAATCAATATTAGCTTGATCAGTACTAATTGCCATGTTTCTGGCATGGTGAGCAAAAGTTGCTTTAAATTCCCACAATTCTCAGGTAAGAGAATTATCTGTGTCAGGAATAATTACACACTAAATGACAATTATGTTAATGTTCTGAATAATATCTCCATCTCTTGTTAACACTGCTGTTTTCTGCAGTGATTATATATTTAGTACAGTGAACATGCAGTGTTTAGAGAGAGAAAATAAATAAATGCAATTTGCATTATCATGATCCTAATTTATATGGAAGCCTAACAATGTACACTTTGTTGCGTGCATGTAAGTTTCCACCATGCAAATTTATTAAATACATAATGCTTTCAGGAGGACAATATCATCTGAGTGACATTAAGAGTCAGAATGTAATCTACATTTTTACTACACTGTAATTAATGTTTTGTAACTTTTGCATATTATTTTAAGAAACTTTTCATCCATCAAAATTAATAAGTATGGATAAATAAAGCTTATATGGTATTGTAGGAGATGACCAGGCAGAGCCCAAAGGTAGGGTCAAATGTATCATCAGTTTGGAGTCGCTTACTCCCACAAGAGACCTAAGTCCAGGCCCCCTATGAATTCCAGCTACTCTTATCTAGTACCAATTTCCCTTGACCGTTAGTCAACCAGATTTTGTGTATAGGTAGCATATAATAAACTTTTAGTGCTTTGAACTCAACTCCAGTTCCTGGTTACTTGTGCCTGATATTTCTATTGCATTAAATGTTTTTAATTTTCTGTGTTCTGTTTCCCATTGTTTTCCTACTATGTACTGGTGGTGGCCCTAAATTAGTGAGAAAGAGATTTGTATTGCTATGGTTCTTTCCATAAGTTAATCAAATTCTATATTTTCATATAATAGTTTAAAAAAGAAATATATTTGAGTATTTAGCAGCACACTCCATCAATTGACTTGTTTAGTCCTTTATATGAATCACTTGGATAGGTAGGTATGTCCCTTCCACCCTTGGCTAGAGCCACCTGGGATAAACAAGGCACTCCTTGTTCTTTGCTTGGCCTTGTCCTAGGGTAGATAAGCAAAGCCTATTAAGATCAAGATATGATAAACTTCTTGCTCTTTGCAAGGGTAAGCAGATATATTGTACATATTGTGCATGATCAGGATGAGTCAGCAGCTCTGGTAGAATAAACTTCATTGCAGTCCTAACCTGGGAAGTGCTATATGTTTCTGGTTTAGAAAAAAGATCTGCATATTAACATTTTCAGATTTCCTGACCAGAAAAGAGCAGAAAGTTTATTTGATGTTAGTATTACACTGCTTATAAACTGTATTGTACTGTTCTTCTTGCTTCTCATGCTAGAGATTTTTGGAGTTCAGTGTCTATAACAAATCTAAATAATAATAACAACAATAACAACTTATTACCTCCATATCCAAAAGTACTTGTAGCTCAAACAGCACAAGCTTTCATATGTCAGGCTCTCCATTTTTAATGATGAGCTTTCCCTCACTATTTGTCTGCTTTTATTATTATTTTTTAAGAGATAGAAACCATTGGACACAATCCTGTAAATTTCTGTCTTTTGGATAATGTAAAAGAGATAATCCTATCTAAAAATTGGCTATTGGTTTGCAATTGGTTTCATATATAAAGAAGATAAGACAAATATACATGTGCATTTTTCCAAATTGTCAATGTGTTTCTTTTAGGTTGCTTGAAATCCAAAAATGGATGCCACAGAGTTTCGGAAAAGAGGAAAAGAAATGGTGGATTACATTGCAGATTACATTGAGAAGATAGAGGAGCGACAGGTCTATCCTGATGTAGAGCCAGGTTACTTAAGAGCCCTCATTCCAGAGTTTGCTCCTGAAAAACCTGAGAGATTTGAAGACATCCTTAAAGATGTTGAAAGGATAATTATGCCTGGGGTAATATTATTTAAGGAGTTTTGAAGATTTTACTTTTAATATTGATGACAAGAAATGTAAGGGTCTAATGATGGTCTTTTGATGGAACAGATATGGGTCACATCAAGTGAAGGTCTTGTGATGGCTCTTGTGATGGGAGGTCACATCAGGTAAGGGTCATTGGGAGGTGAAATGCTGGTTGGGCAAATTGTGGGTTGGTTGAGGGTTGTGCTGTGGCTGATTGGTTGTGCAGTTGATTTGAATTTTCAGGGTTTGTAGGCTGGTTGTAGTTCAATGTGTCTGTTGATGGAATGGCTTGTGGAGTGCCAAGCTTCAATAAACACATTTGTATGGCAGGTGGTAGCATGGCTGATGATTCTTGTATTGCTTCAATCAAATTGGTGCTATTCAGTATCAGTGTGGGTAACGATTAAGGATTTGAGATCATGCCATTTGACTGCCAGCTGTACAAAGGCCTCCAGTACAATGGTGTTTGTGGATCCTGGTTTTCAAATGACTTAAGGAAACAGACAAAAGACTCCCATTCCTTGACATCAACATAAGAAGACAAGATAACAGAGAACTGGAAACATGCATCTACCACAAACCCACATATATAGACCAGATCCTCAGTTTTGCAAGCAACCACCCCACCCCACACAAAAGAAGCTGCATTCAGACCCTCTTCAGAAGGGCCAAGACACACTGCAGCCTTGCAGAACTAAGTAAAGTGGAAAAGAAATGGCTCTTTGATGTCTTTCTTTGCAACAGCTATCCAAAAAACTTTGTATTCTACCACACAGCACCCAAACCACAACAAACCACACAGCCAACCACTACACACAAACTAACCCTACCATACACAAAAGGAGTGTCAGAAATGACAGCCAGAATTCTCCAACTTCTAGGAATAAGAATAGCCCACAAACCCATATGTAAGGACCCACCCCACTTTGCATCTTAAGAAGACAGAACTCTTGGAATAATTCTTCCAACAGGAATCCTTTATTAAGAGAAGTGGTTGCAGGCATGCTAGACAGGACTTGGGGTTCAAGCTCTTCCATTCAAGGTTTTAAGGGGTTCCCCAGTAGTCCCACCCAATCAACCCCCCTTCCAGTGATAGTTTCAAGTATCACAATTCCACCCCTTTTCTTCTTTCTTCCGTCTGGATGGAGACTTCAGATAACTACATGAAAGGCAAATACTCTCCTTTGGTATGCTAACACTTCGAGGTTACAATAAACACACATTCAACATTCAGCCCTTTGAAGTGTACTGAAGGAAGTGAGGGCCATAAAGCCCCTTTGTTCTCCCCCTTCTCTCCCTCTTATGGCAGAATCCAGAGATGGCAGAATTGGGAGTTTCTATATTTGATAATTAAAGATGAAATATAATTGGATTCTGACATCCGGCCCCTCTTAACAATAAGAGAGATCCACCTGAAAGAAAACACAAGTATAAAATTTAGTCAGGCTTGTTAGGATACTCTGTGTGAAACTTCTTCAATAGCTTCGGGGCTCTGACATGACGTTTATGGACCCACTCATTTTGTGAGGGAGGGAGGTGTTTCCAGGCAACTAGGTACTGAGTTGCCCCATGATATCTCCTAGAATCCAGGACTTCCTTTATTTCGAAGTGTTGTTCACCCTCCACCATGAGTGGAGGTGGTGGTGGGGGGATTTTTGGCCGTAGATGTGACTGATGCTCTCTTTTCAGCAAGCTGCAATGAAAAATTGGGTGTATTTGCCTGAGGTTTTTGGGTAATTCCAATTCTACTGTTACTGGATTTATGATTCTTTTAATTGGAAAAGGTCCTATATATTTTGGTCCAAGTTTTTTACAGGGCTGTAGGGACTTTAGGTATTTTGTAGATAAGTACACCATTTCTCCTATAATGAATGGTGTAGGCTCAACCCTTTTTTTATCGGCTTGTGCTTTGTATGCCCGCCTAGCTTCATCTAGTGATTTTCTGACTATTGGCCAGGTGTTTTGTAGGTTTTCCATCCATTCTTTCAGTGAAGGGATCGTTGGTTCTTTTCGGGTTAACTCTGGCATAGGGTTGAAACTTTGACCGTTGGCTATTTGAAAAGGAGTGTAGCCTGTGCTGGATGGACTGCATTATTGTAGGCAACTTCTGCAAAAGGAAGTAAGTCCGTCCAATCACTCTGTTGGAAATTTAAAAAACATCTCAAATATTGCTCAAGTACCGACTGGCAGCGTTCCGCTTGTCCATCTCCTTGAGGGTGGTGGCTAGATGTCAATCCCTGAGTGGTCCCTAAGAGGGATAAAAATTCCTTCCAAAATGCAGACGTAAATTGCACTCCCCTATCAGAGATGATGCGTTGGGGTGCCCCGTGCAATCTGTAAATGTGCTGGATGAAAAGTTTTGCTAAGGCCTTTGCAGTGGGAATTTTTTGGCAAGGGATAAAGTGCACCTGTTTGGAAAATAGGTCCGTGACTGTCCAGATAACAGTATTCCCATTGCTTTCTGACAATTCCACTATAAAATCCATGGCTATTTCCCTCCAGGGGGCTGAGGGACTTGCCACTGGTTGTAATAGCCCTGGCGATTTCCCTTGCAACCTCTTTGCTGATGCACAGGTTGGGCAGCTGGCAACATAACTTTCTATGTCCTTTTTTATTGATGGCCACCAAAATTGCCGTTTAATTAAGTGTAAAGTTTTTACAAATCCAAAATGCCCTGCTGATTTTGTGTCATGGCAAAGGTGCATGAAAGTTAGTCTTTGAGTTGTTGGTATATATAACTTTTCCCCTACCCAAGGCAACCGTCTCTCATTGTGCACACATGTTTGTTTTTCTGGAACCAGTCATCTGTTTCCAAACTTTTTCTGAATTCAATCCCAGTTTGGCTGTCCAGTTGTGGTTTTATTTTGGCTTGGGTTCTTGTGGTTACTGGTGTTGCCAGTTGTGACTCTGCCATTATTGGTCTAGAGTCTGTGGTTCGTGCGCTGTTATATTGAGGCATGCGAGATAGTGCATCTGCCAGGAAGTTCTTTCTTCCTGGTAAATGTTTGAGCTTAAATTGGAATTGGTGAAAATGCTGGGACCAGCGGACTTGTTTGGGATTGAGTTTCCTGGAAGTTTTCAGGGCTTCTAAATTTTTGTGATCAGTCCACACCTGGAAGGGGATTTTGTTGCCTTCCAGGAACTGTCGCCATGTGAGTAATGCCCAACGTATCCCATAAGCCTCCTTCTCCCATACGGGCCAGCGCTGTTCTGTTTCCGTGAGTTTCTTGGATGTATATGCACAGGGTTGCAATACTGCATCATCATTTTCTTGTAATAGCACAGCCCCCACTGCCACATCACTTGCATCTGCCTGTATTATGAAGGGCTTGTCCATGTCTGGGTGCCTTAGTACTGGTTCGGCAGAAAAAAGTCTCTTTAGTCTCTCAAACGCTGCTTGGCACTCCATTGTCCATGTTAGTGGCTGGCTAGGTTTTACTGAGGATGTTCCCTTCGTTTTTAGTAAGTTAGTGAGGGGCAAGGCTATCTGTGCAAATGAGGGGATGAATTGGCGGTAAAAATTTGCAAAGCCCAGGAAACTTTGTAGTTGCTTTCTTGTGCGGGGTGGTGCCCAATTTAGTACTGCTTTGACCTTCTCCGGGTCCATTTCAATGCCCTGTGGGGATATGCAATAGCCTAGGTAGTCTATCCTTTCCTGGTGGAATTCGCATTTTGAGAGTTTGGCATATAGGTGAGCGGCTCGCAGCTTCTTTAAAACCGCTCTGACAAGTTTGACGTGTTCTTCTTTTGTTTCAGTAAAGATAAGAATGTCGTCCAAGTAAACAAGGACCCCCTTAAACAGGTGCTCCCTTAGAACGTCATTGATTAATTGCATAAAGACTGCAGGGCCCCCTTGTAATCCAAATGGCAAGACTTTGAATTGATAGCACCCCATGGGGCAGTTAAATGCAGTCTTCCATTCGTCCCCTTCCTTGATTCTCACTCGATAGTAAGCTTCCCTTAAGTCTAGTTTAGAAAAAATTTTCCCTTTCGATAGGTGTGACAGCATGTCTTTCATGAGGGGCAGCGGGTATAGGTTGCTTTCACTGATTGTATTCAGGGCCCTATAATCCACGCATAAACGTAAAGAGCCATCCTTCTTCTCTCTAAAAAGGACCGGGGCAGCCACTTTAGGCTTGGCTGGCTCAATGAAACCTCTCTCCAGGTTTTTTTTTATAAATCTTTCCATTTCCTCCTTCTCCTTTGGGCTCATGGAGTATAATCTGGGCTTCGGGAGTTTTGCCCCAGGCTTGAATTCAATGGTACAGTCTGTGGGTCGGTGGGGGGGAAGCTCATTCGCCCTCTCCTCACTGAAGACTTCAGCAAGGTCCCTATATTCCTCTGGTATTTCTGTTAATCTTTTTTCCTCTCCTATGGATGCTTTTTCTATTCTTGATTCTGGTAGCCTCCCTTGGGGTTTTAAGTCCATAGAGTCCCCCTTCGGGAATTTGATTTCTGTCGTCCTCCAATTTACCCAGGGGTTCCATTTTTTCAACCATTCCATCCCTAGAATCATTGGGCATTCCATACCTGGGGTCACCACAAACGTTAAGTGCTCTTCATGGTTGCCCAGGGAGAGGTGTATTGGCAGAGTGGCTAGGGTAGCTGGCATCCCTCCTGCTATGGATCCATCTAGCTGGCCAACTGAGATTGGTTGTTCCAGTCTTCTGGATGGGATGCCCAGATTCCCCACTAGTGTTGGGCTAATAAGGCAGCGGGTGCAGCCAGAGTCTATTAAGGCTTTCACCTTCACAGCTTCGGGCATGGGGGGGATTAATATAGTCACTGTTTTGAAGATGGGTGTGATGCATCCACTTACCAGGGGTTCGCCCTCCGAGCTGTCATCTGAGGCATCCACCGTCCCTGTGGTGTAGGCTGGAGTTCTTTCCCCTTGGTGAGCAGAGGTGGGGGTTTCTGCAATTTCCATCATTCTCATGGCTGTTTCTTTTGGCTTAGCTGAATACCCTCTGGGTTTGTTGATTGGGGATCTGTCT